GTCAACAAAAACTTCATATAAGAAGAAAAAAAATTTCAATTATTATTCATATAAGTTACTAAAATTTAATTTGAAATTTATATTTGAAATCTTAAAAAATTAAATTAAGTCTACTAAAAATAAATAAAAAAAGTACATTTTGTATATTTTGAGTCTTATATTTTATAATTTAATATAATATAAATTAAAAAATAATCTTTTGAAATGTTTTTGTATAGATAATTTATCACAATTTTGGCCAACCAATTTCACCATCCTACAACCTTCCCTTTTTTTTTTCTTTTTTCTGGAGGTATGTAGATGCCTGGATGGCAATTACATTCATTCTACTCCTCCTTTCAACCTGTCTGACAATCCCTTCCAAGTTCCCCCAAAATGGCCGACGCTATAGTTTCGTTGATCCTAGAGGAGCTAAAAACAACCATCATCGACAGAGGAAAGGAAGAGGTGAAGCTGCTGTTGGGTCTTGAGGAGGAAGTGGAAAAGCTCGAAAGAAACCTTGATCTCATCCATGGCGTGCTTGCCCATGCTGAGGAGAAGAAGAGAACGGATGTTCTTGTCAAGAAATGGCTGGATAGGCTGAAAGAAGCTGGTTACGACATGGAGGATGCGTTAGATGAGTGGAGAACAGCAGTTGAGATGGAACTACGGGGGGGAGAAAATCAGAGGAAGGTACTACTATGCAATTTCGTTTCATGCTTTTCTTTCCATCAGTTAAGTACCCGTCGTCAAATTGCCTTGAACATAAAGGAAATCAATCAAAGATTAGATGAGATTGTAAAGGAGAAAGATCGGTATCAGTTGATAAGTAAGGAAATTGAACTTCCAAAAAAGCCAGAAAGTTCGTCTTTTGTTGATGTGTCAAGATTATGCGGTCGGGATGGGGTGAAAAGAGATATACTGAGTTGTTTGTGGGGAAGGAATGGTGAAGAGGAGGCTAGTGAACTAATTCAAACCATCTCTATAGTAGGAATGGGGGGATTGGGAAAGACAGCTCTTGCACAGCTGATCTATAATGACTGTGGTGTTCAAGGACATTTTGATGATGTAATATGGGTTTGTGTCTCTGACCTTTTTGATGAGAAAAAAGTTGCAAGGGCAATCATTCAAGGGCTTGAAAAACTTGGTGATGGTGCTGCATACGGTCTAGAATCAAATCCATTGCAGTTCCTTTTGGGAAGGATTTCTAACTCTATCCGGGGAATGAAATATTTTCTTGTTTTAGATGATGTTTGGGATGGAAATAAAGGTGAGAGGTGGGAAGGACTGAAAACCACTTTCAAATTGGGTGCCCCAGGAAGCAGAATTTTGGTTACTACACGTGATGTTGATGTGGCTAAGATGATGGGGTCCTCTTTGTCCCAAATCATTCATCTAGAGAAATTGGGGGAGAAGGAGTGCTGGTTAATACTTAGAGATATAGCATTCAGAGATAGGGATGAGGAGTCTTGTCAAAGTTTGGAGGCAATTGGGAGGAAAATTGCAAATAGGTGTAAAGGCTTACCACTTGCAGCAAAAACTCTAGGAAGCCTCTTAAAGTCTAAAAGAACTAAACAAGAGTGGCAAAGTGTCTTGAATAGTGACATATGGAAATTAGATTTGGCACAAAAGGATATTTTTGCTCCTTTGCTTCTGAGTTATTATGATTTGCCCCCTCCAGTAAGGCGGTGCTTTTTGTATTGTGTTGTTTTCCCCAAAGATTTTGTAATTAGGATTCATTTCATTGTTAGCAACTGGATGGCACAAGGTTATTTAGGCTCTGATGGTAATGCTGATTTGGAGTCAGTAGGGATAGGGTATTTTCATATCTTAGTATCCCGTTCTTTCTTTCAAGATTTTAGAGTGTGGGATGGAGACATTGTTTCTGTTAAGATGCATGATGTGGTACATGACTTTGTTCGATATTTGGCAGAGAATGAGTTTGTGATAAAGGAGGTTGAGTCTGATAATTTGAATATAGACTCAGCAAAGCATCGTCACTTGACAGTGATGGTTGTTGATGCATTGATGCCTTTTCCTACATCCATTTCTGGTGTAGAAAAATTGCGAACCCTTCACACTTTTACTGGAAGGGATGCTTTGACTTGTGAAGCCTTGCGTAGCTTGTTTAATCAGTGCAGGTGCTTAAGGCTGTTGGATCTTGGTTGGTCTGGTGGACTTGATTATTCATGTAAAGAAATTCCTAAAGAAATAGGGAAATTGATTCACTTGAGATTCCTTAGCTTAGCTTATCATGGTTATTTGGAAGGGCTGCCTGAAGCGCTTTCCAACATGTATAATTTGGAAAGTTTGTGTCTGAATGGGTGCATAAATCTCAAGCAATTGCCAGACTGGATATCAAAATTATTCAACTTGAGGCTTCTTAACACTATTGGTTGCCTTGCTCTCACTCACTACCCAAAAGACATCTGGAAATTAACTTCTCTTAGAGCTTTACTCGGGCTCATTGCAAGAGCTGATCGCAATGATGCTGAAGAATTTAGCCTTGCTGATCTTGGAAACTTGAAGCATCTTCATAGAGTTTGGTTGAAAGTGGTGGGAGATTCAATTGATAAGGAGGAGGCTAGAAAAGCTGAACTTGAGAATATCCAGGAGTTGAGGATATATTTGGATGGGGATATTGAGGAAGATGACATA